GAAAGAAAGAAAGAAAGAAAGAAAGAAAGAAAGAAAGAAAGAAAGAAAGAAAGAAAGGAAAAATCAAGCAGAGGGCCTGGGAGTGTACCTCAGTGAAACAGCATCTGCCTGGCAAGCTTAAGTCCCTAAGTTCGATTCCTGGTACCAAAAAACAAAAAAATAATTAAACAGAATGACCATATGATTCAGCAATCTCAATTCTGGATTTTCACACAAAAGAACTGCAAGCAAGGACCTAGAGAGATATTTGTACACCCATTTTTATAGCAGCATTATTCACAAACATCAAGTAGAAACATCCAAGGGTCCACCAACTGATGAATGTATAAACCAAATGTGATTGGTCCGTCCATGCCATGGAGTTTTTTTCTTTTCCTGAGACAGTGTCTCACTAGGTAGCTCAGGCTGGCCTTGAACTCACAACGTGGGTCAGGCTGGCCTCGAACTCTCGGCCATCCTCATCTTCCCGAGTGCTGGGGTTACAGGCATACACCACCACACCTGGCATTTTTTCAACTTTGTATTTTGTGACAAGGTCTCACTAAGTTGCCCAAACTGGCCTCAAACTCATGATCCTCCTGCCTCATTCTCCCGAGTACAGGGATTACATGCACCACTGTGACCAGCTCACAACTTTTTTCAGTGCAGTGTGTGTGTGTGTGTGTGTGTGTGTGTGTGTGTGTGTATAATGGGACTGAACCCAGGGCTTTCACACTGAGCTACATCCGGAGTCCTTTTTTTTAATCTTTTTATTTTCAGACAGAGTCTCCTGTAGCCAATAAGTTGCCCAGGCTGGGCTCAAACCTATGATCCTCCTGCCGAAGCCTCCCAGAATTTTGGGATTGCAGGTGTGTGGCAACCATGCCCTGCTCACAAATTTTTTTTAAAGCTGGATGTTCTCAGGTAAAGTGGGCAGTTATCACGGGAAACTAGAAAGGCATCTTGAGGGTGGGTGTCCTTCAGCACGGCCACTACACTTGGACACCTCTGTATACACGGAGCAGGCCCCAGGCCCCCCGACATGCATCCCACCCTCACCCTTGAAGCACTCACATGCAGGGCGCAGCATCCCTTCTCCAGAACAGCCTCCAGCAATGACAGCCGGGCTGCTGGGTATGCACCTCCATGCCCCTTGGATGGGACAAAAAGACAAACAATTGGACTGCCTACAGGAAGAAGCCTGGCTGAAGGAATTCCCTCAACCCTAAACATTTCCAGTCTCACAGTTGGGACAGTTTCTTGGAGTCGGGGGGACCACTCTCCTATCTACTCCTTCCATTAGAGAGGGATTTTCAGACAGGGTAGATCAGAGTTCAAATGTCAGCAGAGGGGCAGTGGCACTCCCCTGTAATCCCAGCACTTCGGGAGGCTGACGCAGGAGGATTGCCAGTTCTGGGTTCCGGCTGAGCAACTTATCAAGACTTTATCTCAAAATAAAAAATAAAAAGGACTGGGGATATAGCTCAGTGAGGAGGCCCTGGGTTCACTCCCTAATACCATCAAAAAAATTTGAATTCAGGCCCGGGGTGGTTCCAGCGACTGCCTCGCAAGCGCAAGGTCCCAAGTTTGATCCCCGGTACCAAAAAAAACACATTGAGTTCAAACCCAATTACCTGCAGGTTGAAGTGAAGACTTTGCAGCTCTGAGACCCCGCCCAGGGCTCCGTAGGTGATGGCCAGGTCAGGGTGACGCTGGGGAGGTGTTTTAGAAATGGGGTCCCCAGAATGGAACTCCATCCTCACCCACCAAGACCTGGAAGCAGCTTGCCCCCCCCCACAGGCAGGTGGGGACACTCAGGCTGGCACCCCCCGGGCCCCAAAGCAGCACAGGGAGGGGAAGCGCTCCTGAAGACCCTGGGCACCTGCTCCTTGTTGCCTTGGAGGCCAGGTGGCGGTGCCTTGGGCAATGGAAGACCCTGACACCTGCCCCAAAAGGCAGCCCTAGGGTTGCCTCCGGCTCCCCCGTCCCCCACCCCAGGTTTGCAGGACTAAGGTCCCTGGGGTAGACAGGATCAGAACCCTTCCTCTGCCTGTGCCTGAGGAGCGCCAGGTCAGTTAGACCTGGGAGGCCCACAGCACAGCGAGGCGGGGCCAGGTGTCTGGGGCGGAGCAGCTCTGGGATCCTGGCCCGCCCTCCTGAGTCACCCTCTCCGCCTGCCTGCCCTGGAACTCTTCGGGCAACCCGGCCACTCCTCGCCCAGGGACCCAGGAGCTGGGCCAAACGTCCACCCCGCAGCGGTGAGTAAGGGGTCCCCACCTGTGGGGACGGTGGCTGGGTGGGTATCTGGCTGGAACCAGGGTTTGGCCCAGAGGAGGATGGCTCAGGTGTGGCTGTCACATGGCCCGGCGGCCCTCCGGACACACAGGAGCTGGGGGTGGGGACAGGGCACACAAACAGGCCCGGCCCAAGGGCACCTGTCCCAGGAGCCAAGCAGTCCCAGCACCGTTAGGAAGGTCAGCCCTGACTGCCCAGCCCGTCCCGGAGTGGCCAGCAGCTAGGAGAACAGCACCACCTCCTCGTGGTGAGCACCTCAAAGCCCAGAGCCCCACCACTTGGGGTCCTTTCTAACCTGCCCAACCGGAGGTTTTCCAACTTCAAGATTCCCTCGACTCCCAAGCTCAGGCAGGGGCAACTTGGCAAAGTGCTGGCCTGGCCGAGATCTGTGACTCAGGAGACGTCTGCCCTCCACACCTCGTGCCTCAGTTTTCCATTTGTGGAAGAAACAGGGCTTGGACTTCAAGTTCTTTGAGGCTGAAAACCTTGGCTATCTCTTGCTGCCCCTTTAGCACTCAGGCTGTGGCTGAGCTTGGGACTGGGGCAGCAGCACCCACCACCTCCACTGAGCAGAAACTGGTCTACCACGTTTGGGGAGGCAAACAGCTTGAGGACAGCGTGAGAGAAGTGGGGTGAAGCATGGATGAGGGGACATGTGGTCCTAGGTTAACAGGGCCCCTAGCACGGCCTTTCTGAACACCCTTCTCAGGGTCTTTCTGCAAAGATGCCACACCTCAAGCCGGGTGTGGAGGCGAATGCAGAACGCCTGTAATCCCAGCACTCGGGAGGCTGAGGCAGGAGGATTGGCATGAGTTCAAGGCCAGCCTGAGCTACACAGAGAGACCCTGTTTTAAAAAAAAGATAAAAGAAAAGACGCCACAGCAGGGAGAGGAGCTTTTCCAATGCAGACCAGAGTGGGTGCCATCAGACAGACAGGAAGTGGGGGTTGGACAGTCCAGGCTCAAATGCCACCTGTAACTGTAAAACCTCACGTAAGTCATGTCTACCACCCAAGTCTGGAAAACAAGAGCCCCAATACCCGAGCTCCCAAAGTCAGGGTAAAATGTGGCACTGAGAGCACCAGGCAGCACACAACAAGCAGGGTCCTTGTTGTCATTCTCCTCTCCCGCCTCCCACCCTTGCAGGCCCCTTTCTCTGAGCCCCACCGGCTCTGCTCAGACACGGGGCGGGGGTGGGGGGGCAGCAATGAGTTGGTGGAAAGTTAATGGCAGGTTTGGATGAGCACATTTGAGTCATGGAGACGGATAATGATAATCCCCCACATCCGCCTCTGATTGTGTGTGTGTGTGTGTGTGTGTGTGTGTGTATACACACCTTGTCCCCTGGGAGCCGCGGGGCTGTGTGGGACTGTACTCTTGCCTGTGACTGCTAGCCTGGGACAGTGCAGGGGGGTGGTGGAAATCTGAAGAAGTCGGTCCCTGCCTGTCTTTGTGATGTTCTTGCTACTGTTCCCATACTGCTCTTTTTCCTTTTTCTTTTTGGAAAGGGGTGCTGGGGATTCAACCCAGAGCCTCCTGCATGCTAGGCGAGCACTCTACTACTGAGCCACATCTCCAGCCCTTTATAAGACAGTCTCAAACTGCCCCAACTTGCAATCCTCCTGTCTCAGCCTCCAGAATAGCTGAGATCACAAAGGTGCAACACTGCACCCAGCCCCAGTTTACAGTTCTTAGATTAAAGCAACTAAGAAGTACCCCTTGAAAGTTAAAGGAACTGAGCAGTGGCCCTAAAGGGATTCACTGAGGCCACCCTGGGTGGCTGGAACTCAAAGCAGATGTTACCGCTCCCTGGTTCTGGGTCTTCCTTTTGCTTAGTGTTTGTGCTCTGCACCCTCACGCATGCCCCAAAATGGCCCCCAGCCATCCCCTTTTGGTGGCTGTCCTGTGTGTCCACTCCCTGAGCTGCCCCCAGCTTTTTCTACCAGATTAGACACTGACCAGGAGCCTGAGCTTGTTCTTTCCTGGCTTTCTGTGCAGGACAGGGAGAATTAGTGAGCATGGGGGGACGGGACGATGAGGCATGGGGTCCGGGATGCTGTGTTCTGGGTACCCCCATACTGAGGTGCCAGCCCCATTATATAACTCGGGCTCAGCCTGGTAGGCAAGCACTACACCCTATAGGACGGCCCATCCCTACCTGTCTGACTCAGGAGCCACCCCTAGATCTCTGGGGAACACTGGGACAGATGAGGAAGGCGCACAGTGTCACAGCAGTTGGCCGAGGTGTGGGACAGGAGGCTGGAATGTCCCTACTCTCCTCTGGGAGATGGAAGAGAGGCCACAGAAAACTGGCCAGTGGTCCGAACCTGTGCCCAGCGGCCATGGTGAGGCCAGGAGGCTCCTAGAAATCTGCTTAAGAGACAAGGGATGTAGGTGGGGGAGCTGGAATGCCAGCAGGGGGGAGCTGCCTAGGGGCCCCCACTTTCCTCCAGCGTGAGCAAGTGGCCACTGCCTCACACAGTGATGTCCCGGCTTATGCGCCCCTCCTTCCTCGTGTGAATTGGGCCTGGCCCATCTGTGTCTGCAATAATGATACCTTGGTCAAAAAGGAAACCAGGGACAGACAATGGGCTGCAGCCCAGAAGCCAGGCAGCCCGGCCCAGTGGCAGCCGCCAGGAGGTGTCACCCTGACAGGTTTCCCTTTTCGGATCCTCCACCCTGCACATTACAACACTCCTCCCTCTCCCAGCCCAGGTCCCTTGTGGACCTCAGATTCCGGCCTCCAGAACCCTCCTTTGGAAACTCAGGTGTCCAGGTCACACACCCACCCAGGGCTGCTAACCTTCAGCGTGGCCACTCCCTAACCCCAGGGGCCCCGGGAACCAGAGCAGAGCCAGGCTCCAGCCGGCTTTTCCGGTTAGAGGTTGGAGGTGGTGCCCAGAGCGCCCCTGGAGGGAGTGGGGGGCCCACGCCCCAGAAGTCCTGAGCCCTGGGTCATAGTGAGCCAGGACAGGAGTCAGGATACCTCAGTGCAGGTGTTTAGGGGCTTCTGGCATCAGGGTGGGGGGGATGCCTCAGGGGAAGCTGGGGACAGTGGGTTGCCGACGCCTCTGCTGAGCTCTGGGCGGGCAGGCAGACCGGAGCAGGGGCTGGGGAGAAGGAGAGGCAGGGAGATCTGGAAAGGTGAGGTCTGGGATGGGCCAGCCAGGCAAAGACCAAGCTAAGAAGGGAAGGGAGATAAACTGTGTAGATTCTACCAGGCTGTGGCAGGGCCATGAGTGGATCTGGATCCCCAGGGGGAAGAGACTGGCAGGGAGATTCCTCTTGATCTCTCTACATCTCGGTCTCTCCGCTTCCTACAGGCACGATGATCCCAGTGGCCGAGTTCAAGCAATTCACGGAACAGCAGCCTGCGTTCAAGGTGCTCAAACCCTGGTGGGATGTGCTCGCTGAGTATCTCACGGTGGCTATGCTCATGATCGGAGTCTTTGGCTGCACCCTGCAGGTGAGGGACAGGGCCTCGAGGGGGCGGGACCCATCGGGGTGGTCTGGAAGCCTTCCCATCAAAACCCCAGGCCATTCCCAGCCCCATTCAGACCCATCACCTCCCCCACCACCACTGGCATCGGCATCAGTCCTCCACATTGCCAGGGTATTTACTACTTTCCTTCTATTTTTTTTTCCCTCTTGGTGATGCTGGGGGTTGAACCCAGGGCCTGGCATTTGCTAGGCTCTTTGTAATACTCCATCTTATCCCTGGAATCGAGAAAGGACCTCAGTTACTGAGGTAGCACAGGGTGAGCGACTTAAACACCAGAATTGATCACAGTGCTCTGGACGGGCTGGGATCCACTTGAGGCCTGTCAGGAAGAATCTGTTCCAAGCTTTCTCCTCCACTCTGACAGCTCCAGGTGTCCTGTGGCTTGTAGATAGCATTCTCTGTGTCTTCAAATCATCTTCCATGTCTGTTTTACACCGAACTGGGGATTGAACCCAGGGGTGCTCTCCCACTGAGCTACATCCTATCTTTCATTACTTTATTTATTTATTTTTTCATTACTTTTTAAAAATGTTTTTTATTTTGAGATAGGGTCTAAATTACCCAGGTTGGCCTTGAACTTGTGATCCTCCTGCCTCAGTCTCCGGAGTAGCTGGGATTACAGGTGTGGACTACCACACCCAGCTTAAATGTCCCCTCTCTATAAAGTCCCAGTCCCAGAGGGTTAGGGTCCCTCCTAATGACCTTATCTTAACCTGATTACTTCTGTACAGACGCTATTTTCAAATAAAGCCACATTCACCAGGATGGGAAGTTGAGGCTTCAGCTTCTTTTGGCGGGGTGCACAATTCAACCCAACTCCTTTTTTCATACAAAGGCTGATGCTGAGTTTTTAGCAACTCTTCCAAAACCAGCGAGCTGGCCGCAATCAGGAACAGGGTCTCCTCACTCCCCACCCCCACTCTCTTTTGCGTCTCACTCTCACCAGGTGACGCAGGACAAGATTATCTGCCTGCCCAGTCATGAACCCCGGGAGAACTTCTCAGAGGCCCCTTGCCAGCAGCTCTTGCCTCAGGGGGTCTCCGAGCACATGGAGGGCCTCCGGGAGCTGAGTGGCCTCAAGAACAACTTGGACCTGCAGCAGTACAGCTTCATTAACCAGCTGTGCTATGAGACAGCCCTGCACTGGTATGCCAAATACTTCCCCTACCTGGTTGTCATCCACACACTCATCTTCATGGTCTGCACCAGCTTCTGGTTCAAGTTCCCCGGCACCAGCTCCAAGATCGAACATTTCATCTCCATCCTGGGCAAGTGTTTCGATTCCCCATGGACCACCCGGGCCTTGTCTCAGGTCTCCGGGGAGAACCAAAAAGGCGCAGCTGCCTCACGGGCCACAGCCATCACAGTGGCTGCAGCAGGGACCGGGTCCGGGAAGGCAGGTGAGGGCGAGAAGGAGAAAGTGCTAGCAGAACCGGAGAAGGTGGTGACCGAGCCTCCAGCTGTCACCCTGCTGGACAAGAAGGAGGGCGAGCAGGCCAAAGCCCTGTTTGAGAAGGTCAAGAAGTTCCGCGTGCATGTGGAAGAGGGGGACATCCTCTACACCATGTACATCCGGCAGACAGTGCTCAAAGTCTGCAAGTTCCTGGCCATCCTGGTCTACAACCTGGTCTACGTGGAGAAGATCAGCTTCCTGGTAGCTTGCAAGGTGGGGACCTCAGAGGTCACCGGATATGCTAGTTTCTGCTGTAACCACACCAAGGCGCACCTCTTCTCCAAGCTGGCCTTCTGCTACATCTCCTTCGTGTGCGTCTATGGGATCACCTGCCTGTACACACTCTACTGGCTCTTCCACCGGCCTCTCAAGGAGTACTCTTTCCGATCCGTGCGAGAGGAGACAGGCATGAATGACATCCCCGACGTCAGGAATGACTTCGCCTTCATGCTGCACCTCATTGACGAGTATGACTCGCTCTACTCCAAGCGCTTCGCTGTCTTCCTCTCCGAGGTCAGTGAAAGCCGCCTGAAGCAGCTCAACCTCAACCATGAGTGGACGCCGGAGAAACTGAGGCAGAAGCTGCAGCGAAACTCAAGGGGCCGGCTGGAGCTGGCTCTCTGCATGCTCCCTGGACTGCCTGACACCATCTTCGAGCTCAGCGAGGTGGAGGCACTCAGGCTGGAGGCCATCTGCGATATCGCCTTCCCGCCGGGGCTGTCACAGCTCACAAACCTTCAGGAGCTCAGCTTGTTGCATTCACCTGCCAGGGTGCCTTTCTCTTCCCAGATCTTCCTTCGGGACCGCCTGAAGGTGATCCGGGTCAAATGTGAGGAGCTCCGAGAGGTGCCCCTCTGGGTGTTCGGGCTTCGTGCCCTGGAGGAGCTGCACCTGGAGGGGCTTTTTCCTCCAGAGCTGGCTCGGGCGGCTTCTCTCGAGAGTCTCCGGGAGCTGAAGCAGCTCAAAGTGTTGTCCTTGCGCAGCAATGCCGGGAAGGTGCCAGCGAGCGTGACTGACGTGGCTGGGCACCTGCAGCGGCTCAGCCTGCACAATGACGGGGCGCGCCTGCTGGCCCTCAACAGCCTCAAGAAACTGGCAGTCCTTCGGGAGCTGGAGCTGGTGGCCTGCGGGCTGGAGCGCATCCCCCATGCCATCTTCAGTCTAGGCGCACTACAGGAACTTGACCTCAAAGACAACCACCTCCGGTCCATTGAAGAGATCCTCAGCTTCCAGCACTGCCGGAAGCTGGTCACGCTCAGGCTGTGGCACAACCAGATCGCCTATGTCCCAGAGCATGTACGGAAGCTCAGGGGCCTTGAGCAGCTCTACCTGAGCCACAACAAGCTGGAGACCCTGCCCAGCCAGCTCGGCCTGTGCTCCAGCCTCCGTCTGCTGGACGTATCCCACAACGGGCTACACTCCCTGCCACCCGAGGTGGGCCTCCTCCAGAACCTGCAGCACCTGGCTCTCTCCTACAATGCTCTCGAAGCCTTGCCAGATGAGTTGTTCTTCTGCCGCAAGCTGCGGACATTGCTTCTGGGCTACAACCACCTGGGCTACCTCTCTCCCCATGTGGCAGCCCTCACAGCCCTTAGTCGCCTGGAGCTCAAGGGCAACCGGTTAGAGGTGCTGCCGGAAGAACTGGGCAACTGCACAGGACTGAAGAAGGCGGGGCTGGTGGTGGAGGACACCCTTTACCAGGGGCTGCCCACTGAGGTTCGAGCAAAGATGGAGGAGGAATGAAGTCAGCGTGGAGCAGGTTGCAGAAGAGGACTTCAGATGCTTCCACCCCAGCCTTGTCTGCCGAGGGGCCCTGCCAGAAGAGGAGGGGCAGCTGTGTCAGCTTTGTGGGGTCCAGACGAGATCCTGGGACTGGTTTGTCTGGGGAGAGACAGGAAGTTGTGGATTTGGGGTGGAACCTATACGGAAATGTTAACTCAGTCACAGAACCCTCAGATCAAAACCACACCTGAGTCTTTGGCTGGCTGGCCTGCCCTCCCTCTGGACATTCCAGCTCCATTAGTGTCATGGATGGGAGTAGGAGCACATCCCTTTGGGATTTCCAGCCTGCTCTCCCACCAACAAATCAGCTTACATTTGTGGTTCCCTCCCAAGGAGGGGACACAGATTCAAAGGACCAGGTTTCTACACCCCCATTCCCACTCAGATGCTATTTTCTTATTTATAAGTTGCTTGCTGCAGACACGCATACTTACATTTGGCTGGGCACCAAAATCAACTGAGGAGCTAGGACAGAACAAAACATCCCAGGCCCCACCCCTAAAAGACTGACTCAAGAGCTTTGGGCAGGGGCCAGGAACCCGCTTGTAAATAAGCATGCCAGATAATTCTGATGCAGGTGATCCTAGGACAGTAAGACGGAAATGGCTGACCTAAAGAGTATGGGCACCTTAACGCCTAGAGCCCCTTTTAGGTCCAAGACCCTCTGAGGATCTGATGAAAGCTGGGTGCCTCCTCCCTCAGTAAAATGTACCACACACACACAACTCTGCCAACGACTTTCAGGCAGTCCACAAGGGCTATTCATGGACTTCCTAAGGTTGGCTGGCTCCAGGTTAAGAACACCTGTCTTGGAGGCTAAATTTTCCAGAGGATAAGCAGGGACATTGTCTTTTGGATGTTCCTTGTGTGAGGGAGCATATAGCATTGGGCGCTCAATAAATATTAATTATGAGAATTATAATCTGATCTCTTCTGTGCATGCTTACCATCTAAGCCTGAACTCCATAGTGAGACCCTGTCTCAAAAACAAAACAAAAAAAATCTACATTCCACGAGTTGCGCTCACATTCTGGGGGCAGGAGAGATGGAGATGCGGCGTCCTAAGGTTCCACGCAGGTCTGGCTGGACACACCGACCTTGATCTTAGTCCTATCACCAAGGTCAGGGATAACGTCGCTGGATTCCCAGAGCTCTCCTTCCTGCCAGGCTTCGGCCAGCTCAACTTGATGGGACCGGATGAAACGGAGAGGGATTCCCACGGGTACCCAATTGTGGTGAGGAGGCAGCACCGCGCTGCCAGCGGGAGGTCAGGCAGCAATTAAGTCTAACAGGGATTCTAATAAAGCAGAGTCTGAGGAGTAGAAGGCAGTTTCTGGAGGGCACGGCAGCCAGGGTGAAATCGGCCAAGAAGCGCAAAAAGAAGCTGAGGATGCATCGCGGTAGAGACTTCGAATGAGTGATAAAGCAGAACAAACGGCCAGGGATGCGCTTGCGCAGTAGGAGGCATGCGCGTGGCCGCGTTTCTCCATATGTACCCCTGCGCACCACTTTCCCCGCCCACCGCTGTCTAAGGCAAAGTGGGTTTCCACGCAGCGCCTCTTGCCGGAGTGCTAGAGAACTCACGCATGCGCACCACGGTGGTAGCGGTGGGTGGAGGCGTTGCACGTTGCCAACCGCGAGCTCTAGGTGGCGTCATCCCTCGGGCTGGACCGCAGCACGCACGCGCGGAGGACCGGGCGGGCGGGCGTCGTGGGCATGCGCCTTGCGGGACGAGACGGCGGCTCGGCGGGGTCATACCAGCGCAGGCGCAGTGCGGTGTTTGTCTGCCGGACTGACGGGCAGTCCGGCGGTGCGCGGCGGCAGCGGCGGCGGGGAAGATGGCGGCGTCCTCCCTGGAGCAAAAGCTGTCCCGCCTGGAAGCAAAGCTGAAGCAGGAGAACCGTGAGGCCCGGCGGAGGATCGACCTCAACCTGGATATCAGCCCCCAGCGGCCCAGGCCCAGTAAGCGCAGCAGCGTGGGGGAGGGGGCGGGTGGGGCGGGGCGCGCTGCGAGGGGCCCCGCCCCCGCCGCTAGGCCCCGCCCCCGTTTCCTGGGCGCTCGCGCTTCTCCCCTCCCCCCACCCCCGCTGTGGGCTCTCGGGGAGAGGGTCACGGTGACCCGGGGGGCGTGGGGCCGGCGGGCTCCTGGGAGGCCTTCCCTAGGGCGTGGGGCTGCTCACTGGCGCCCCAGAGTCTCGTTACCTCGCCGCGGGGGAGGCCCTACCGCCAGATGACCCGCCCCGCCGCAGCGATTCTCAGCTTCTGTCACCTGCACTAAGTGGGACACATCCTCAAGCCACGGTGACTGCATCCAGGTCCCGCCTACAAACACAGTAACATCCCTTTTGACCTCACTCCGTCCATCTCGGTGACTGTCAGCCACCACCACCCCCCCATATGGACACAAGTGTACACCTGTACTGGGGATACCTGATCTCTTAAAACTATATATAACTTCACTCACGCGTGGTCCACCTGACCCGAGGATTCTCATTTGATCGCTACCACCATATCTGCCGGTCCTTCCCAGTTTGGGATGATCTTGGTATTACGCTCTGTAGACCCCACCCCCCCATATTCCAGACCCCTCCATACCCTTGTGATTAACCACTACCACCGTCTTGAGGGATGTGTAGTTCTGTAGCAATATGCACCCATCTACACATCTCCCAGCCTGGTGACTGTTCCCTTATCCCCCTGACACGTACCTAGCCTGAGGACACTTGAGGCCAATTCAAGTGTATCTGTCCACACACACACACACACACACACACACACACACACGGCACCCATACCACTCTTTGCTGGTCCTCCCATCTTTGCCTGCCTCCCTGATGTCTCGTTATCCTGGATTAACAGCTGTCCTCCTTCCTCCTCCACACACATCTGGCCAGGGATCACCATGACCATATGTAGCTGCCTTGTGGTGTCCCACAGACCCCTGTCCCCAAGTCCTCAGAGCTAGGGGGAATTGGATTCTCTTCTCTATGTACCCTGTGACCAACCCCCTTCCCCATTACCCTTTCTCTATCTCTCTTGGCCCCCAAAACCACCCTGTCATATCTTCTGTGGTATGACCCTGTGGCCTCATGCTGACAGGAGGGAGACTGCACCTCCCCCATATCCAGGTACTCTAGGGATTCCTGCTGCCCTAGCCTGACCTTCACAGCCTGACACCCCCATCTCTCTTCACTCCCACCCCTCCCCCTTCTGATCTGGGTCATGTGGGTTCCTCCTTGAGGAGTCTCAGGTGGGCCCAGAGAAATAAATCCTGGGGATGAAGCTGCTGTTGTCGGATGCTGCCTGGGGCTGGAGGGTCCCTGCTGGGCTCTGCAGGGCTGCCTTTCTCAGCTCCAGCATGGATGGGACAGGGTGGGTCCGGGGTCTGGGGTCCGGGGTCCTTGGTCCTCTTAAGTGCATAGTGAGGCCTGGTAAGCTGTGGTGGGCAGGCCCAGGAGCCCATGCAGGCATCTGTGTCTGTCAGTTCCATCCCCTCCTCCCTGCCCTCCCATCTCTGTCAGTTTCTACCCATCTCTGCAGTTTGGTGTCTCATGCCTCCCCTCCTTCTCGTTATGATTTGATTTCTTTTCTTTTGAACAAATCAGCCATTTCTGTTGTGATTTATTGTGGTGTTTTTTTTTCTTCCTTTCCCATCCAGTTATTGTGATCACTCTAAGCCCTGCTCCTGCCCCGTCCCAGCGAGCAGGTACCAGCCTTTTCATCATCGCTGCTTGGACATCTGCACCATTGACCTAACCGCTGCCCCGGCTGCAGAATGCCCTCCCCAGCCCATGCTCTGTGTGTGTTCTGTCTCCTCTCACTCTGTCTTTCTGGGAGAGCAGTGTGGACTCCGTCCGACCTCCTGAGTCCTCTCAACTCCCCACTTCCTCTTGGGCTCAGTTTGGATCCCCTAGAGGAGAGTTAGTTTCCCTCATGGGTGGGAGCCTGTCAGCCACTGAGAGGGCAAGCGTGTGCACAGGTGTGTGTGGTGTGTGTGCGTGTGTCTGTGCGTGCAGCAGAGAAAGTGGGGCCAGGGAGGTGCACAGGCTGCTCTCAACAGTTGGGTGAGTGTCACGCCCTCGTGTGCTCTGCCTGTTCTCAGCGCTGGGAACACACCGGTGACAAGAGACCGAGCTGCTGTCCGGGTGGACAGTGAACACATCCCCAGATAGGGACCGAATTCTGGTGGTTGGACAGGCCTGTGGGGCTTGCTCTGGGAAGGCCTCCGGGGGAGGCAGGAGTTGAGCAAAGTGTGGAGATATGAGGGTGTGGGACAGCCCTGCTGAGGCCCCTGCGCTGGTGCCTGCAAGTTTGAGAACAGACACATCAGGCAGTCAGGCCATGCGAGTTCCTGGGTGACAGAGAGGGTGCCTGTGTTGGCAGAATTGGCAGCAGGTCTGGCCATGTGGGTAGTTGTGTGTGGCTAGGTGGGGCCTTTGTTTGTAGCCAGCCTCTGTGTGTGTGTGTGCGCCTGCGCTGTTCTTTGGGTGACTTAGAGGGCTGAGGGGCTGGTTCAGTGTCCTGCGCGTGTATGTGTGCGTGCTTGCATGCGAGTGCACATGTGTGTCAGGCTGGCAGCTGCACCTCCAAGGCTCCTGTTGGTGGCACGTGCCCCATGCTGTCTCTTGCTCTCATTCATTCATTCATTCATTTTCACCTTCTGCTCTTTCACTTTCTTACTTTGCCTCTGCTCTCCTGACCTGCTGTGTGCATGTCACCACCTCTGTGATCTCTGTTTTCAAGGCCATTGTGTATCTCCCTTCCTCCCCTGCTGAGATCCCCTCAGGTCCCCACTGTCCTCTGGTGTCTGCAGCCTTTCATGCAGGTCCTGGGACAGCCCAAGAGGGCATGGTGGACGGTTCAGAGAAGGGACCCATAGGGCAGCTGGAGGTGTGGACAGGCTGGAGGGTCTCAGGTGATGAAGGAGCCCAGGTACAGGAGGGTTGGGAGCTGGGGGTGGGGAGCACAGGGTCCCTCAGGATCCAGCAAGGGACCTGGACTGTGACTGGGGCCATGGGCAGCCAGAGGTGCAGGGACTCATGCAGGGTGGCCAGGCCTGCACCCCCTTCGACCGCAAGTCAGGGGTCCTGCCTGCTTCTCAATGGCTGAGGTCAGGGTCCCAGGGCAGCAGGCCCGGGAAAGGTGTGTCTGTCTCTGTGTGCTGCTCCCCGGGCCAGGTCTCTGGGAGCTGTAGGTCTGTGGGAAGAGAGAGGTGAGGCAGAGGGGTGGAGAGGAGGGAGGGGTGTCAGCTGAGAGTGGCAGGCTCCTGGGCCTTGGGATGGGGATCCTTGGAGGGTGCTTCTCGCTGCTGCCTTGGGGTGCAGTGGGGCTGTGAGGGGCGGGCCCCTCCAGGAGCCACACCAGGCCCCTGCCCTTGCTTCCCCACCATGTTGCCACTTGACTGGGGAGCCCTCTTGCTCCTCAGGGAACCTTTTCTGCTGTCCCTGTCTGGCCTGTCCCTGTAGCACGACTCGGGGCAGCTGGGCCCCAGACCTTGGCTCCTATCTGTGTGTCCTGTCTCCTGCCGTCCTGCCCCTAACACCGCCTGCCCATCCTGGGGTGCCTGCTGCCTGCCCACCCCCACTCCCCGCCTGTAGCATGTCCAAGCTGTCTGCATGCAGGCCGCTGGAGAGTACCGAATCCCCTGCCTGGCCCAGCACCCGCTCCCTCCCCGGTCCTGCCTGGCCCTGCGGAGCTGGACCCAGATCTCACAGGCCTGGCCTGGGCTCCTGCCCCCAGTCCCTAGGCCCCAGCTCTGCAGGCCTGACTAGGAGGCAGCAGATGGGCTAGCTGGCCAGAGGGCACCCTCGCCGAGCCTGGCGCAGAACCTGACCCCGAGGCAGTGGGAAGCCTGGGTCCCAAGTCGGCTGTCTTTGGGCGGCCCCCTCCCTGGTGTTTGGCCGCCCAGTTCAGTGCTGGCAGCAGGGCCAGGGCCCGAGCTGTTCCTGGGGGCATCCATCCATCCTGGCACGGTCCAGCGTGGACACTGTGGTCATGGACCTGCCTCCTGGAAGGCACAGCCAGGGGGTCTGCCTGGCTTGGCCTCTGTCGGGCCCCCACCTTGTTTCTCTGCCAGTGTGAACCTGAGGACAAGCCTTTAGCCTACGGGGATCGTTGCTCCCCTGCTAGCCCACCCCATCTCCTTCCACATCAGCAGGACAGGAGGAGGCACCCTGAGGATGGCCTTGGGGGGTCCCTGTCCTCCAGCACAGCAGGGGGCTTTGCCAGTCTGGCTGAGGGATTGGGGGAGGTGAGGGTCCCACCCTCCCAAAATGCCTGGCCCAGAGCTGTCCAACCAGATGCTAAATCCCTCCCCGCCCCAATTCTCAACCCTCCAGCCCTGCAGCTCCCGCTGGCCAATGATGGGGGCAGCCGCTCACCGTCCTCAGAGAGCTCACCGCAGCACCCCACGCCCCCCGCCCGGCCCCGCCACATGCTGGGGCTCCCGTCCACCTTGTTCACGCCCCGCAGCATGGAGAGGTGAGTGGTACTGATTGGCAAGGACAGGTTGGGGAGCACTGATGTGCGGGCCCTGGGGAGGGGGTGAGTCCATCTGGGGCCAGGCCTGCTTCGGGTGGGTCAGGATCCCCTCCATGGCTCCTGCTCTGTCCTCCAGCATTGAGATCGACCAGAAGCTGCAGGAGATTATGAAGCAGACGGGCTACCTGACCATCGGGGGCCAGGTACCACTGCGCAGCACCCTGGCGGGGTGAGGCAGGGCTCAGCTGGGCTGGGCTGGGGTGTGGGTGGCAGAGGCCGCAGGGACCCTCCAGCCCGTGCTGTCCCCACAGCGCTACCAGGCAGAGATCAATGACCTGGAGAACCTGGGTGAGATGGGCAGCGGCACCTGCGGCCAGGTGTGGAAGATGCGCTTCCGGAAGACGGGCCACGTCATCGCCGTCAAGGTGAGCCCAGGCCCTGCCTTCCAGGCGGGGTCCCCTGCTCCCAGCCAGCCCCTGAGCATCCGTCCTGCCAACCCTCCCTGCAGCAAATGCGGCGCTCTGGGAACAAGGAGGAGAACAAGCGCATCCTCATGGACCTGGATGTGGTGCTCAAGAGCCACGACTGCCCGTACATCGTGCAGTGCTTCGGCACCTTCATCACCAACGTGAGCTGCCTTCCCCGCGCCCTCTGCACCCACAGGGTCCTGCGTGCTCCGGCACCGCCGTCTCCCCATGCCTCTCTGGGTGAGGGGGTGGGGCCAGTCGTCCCCAGCCACGGTGCCACCTTCTCTCCACAGACGGACGTCTTCATCGCCATGGAGCTCATGGGCACCTGCGCCGAGAAGCTGAAGAAGCGGATGCAGGGGCCCATCCCTGAGCGAATCCTGGGCAAGATGACAGTGGCGGTGAGCAGCTGGGCCAGGGCTCACGCAGCCAGGTGGGCAGCCCCAGGCCTGGACCCCTCACGGCGCCTCCCATCCTCCCTGCAGATTGTGAAGGCGCTGTACTACCTGAAGGAGAAGCACGGCGTCATCCACCGCGATGTCAAGCCCTCCAACATCCTCCTGGACGAGCGGGGCCAGATCAAGCTCTGCGACTTCGGCATCAGTGGCCGCCTGGTGGACTCTAAGGCCAAGACGAGGAGTGCCGGCTGTGCGGCCTACATGGCGGTTAGTGGGGCCCAGGCGCACCTGGCGGGCAGGCGGGCAGGCGGGCAGGCGGGCGACGGCTGGGAGGCTGACCCTGCCCTCAGCACCCTGTCCCTCCTCGGCAGCCTGAGCGCATAGACCCCCCAGACCCCACCAAGCCCGACTATGACATCCGGGCCGACGTGTGGAGCCTGGGCATCTCGTTGGTGAGTTGCGGCCCTGCCTCTGTCCTTGGGCCAGCGTGAGGCCTTCTGGGGGTTCGGGGAAGGGGCCAGGGGCCCGCCCAGGGCGCCCAGCCCTGCTGTCTCCCTCCCAGGTGGAGCTGGCAACAGGACAGTTTCCCTATAAGAACTGCAAGACAGACTTCGAGGTCCTCACCAAAGTCCTCCAGGAAGAGCCCCCACTCCTGCCTGGTCACATGGGCTTCTCAGGGGACTTCCAGTCCTTCGTAAGAGACTGGTGAGCACCCCACCCCGTCCTGTCCCTCTGCTTAGGGAGGCCCGGGAGTCTGGGTGTGTCTCGATGCAGGAGGGCCAGGGAAGGGAGCAGCCCAGTGTCCTGGGAGCTGCAGCTGGGTGCACAGTCTGGTGTGGTAGCCCTGTGCCCTGCCGCCATGAGCAGGACAGAGTGTGCAGGAGTCCACCCCTGAGCCCCCCTAGGCAGCCAGCCTGCCCTCAATGGGACTCACAGCTCAGCTCAGCTCCACAAGCCAGGTTCTCCCCTCGCTAGCCCGGGCCAGGAGGCTTTGGGGCGTACAGCTTGGCAGGTGCCTCCTGGGAGCGCCAGGCCTGAGGACATCAGCAGCTGCTTCACAGGCCTGAAGACGCCCGCTTACCTTGCTCCTCTTTCTCCAGCCTTACTAAAGATCACAGGAAGAGACCAAAGTATAATAAGCTACTTGTGAGTATCAGGGTCCCTCTGTGCTGCTCGGGAAGCCCCCAGGCCTGAGGACAAGGCCAGGAGGGAAGACCCTTCATCCTAAGCCCCCCTCGGGCCCACAGGAACACAGCTTCATCAAGCGCTACGAGATGCTGGAAGTGGACGTGGCGTCCTGGTTCAAGGACGTCATGGCGAAGACCGAGTCACCGAGGACTAGCGGAGTGCTGAGCCAGCCCCACCTGCCCTTCTTCAGGTAGCCTTGTGGTGGCGGCCAGCCCCACCGGGCCAGGGGCTTGGCCACAGGCCCCTCTTCCTGACCTGGCCACCCAGCTGCCTGCCAGGGGAGGCCTGAGAGCTGCACGGCCGCTGAGGGCTGAGGACGGCAATCGGGGTGCTGCCACCCCCAGAGCGCTGCCCACCAGCTGTGGACACACGGGCCTGCCAGGCCCCAGCCCTTCCTGCCCCGGGGTCAGCTGGCCGTGCGTGTTACCCGGACAGACACTGTGAATGAGGATAGCAGGCCGCCAGCAGACTCGCTATTTATTCAGTCATAACCTCTGGGCTGGGGTGGCCTGTGCACGGGAGAGCCCCACGCGCTTTCGGTCTGTCGCCCTGTCCCTGCCCTCTGCCTCCCAGTCGTCATCGACTCTCCCTTCTCTCTCCTGGCCCAGGCGAGGGCTCAGCCGCTCCAGTCCTTGTGGGAGCCCCGGGTCTGCCTCAGTGACGCCCAGTCCTTACCAGGGCAGTGTGGATCTCTGGACTGCAGCCGGACCGGGGCTGCTTTCTCTTTCTCTTTGATCTCAGGGGGTCTTTTTTGGAGTTTATTGTATTTTGTTGTACTTGGTGGGGTGTTTGGGGGAAGGGGAGAGGAGAGCTTGTCCTCATGGGTTGTGTCGGTACCTTCAGAAACTTACCAAAGTCACATTTAGCTGCTTTTGGTGGGGCTCCCCCAACTGCCTTCGGGCTCTGGTGGACAGGGGCTGAGCCGCTGCTCCCTGTCGGCCTGGCCTGGGGGAGACCCAGGAGGGCCGGGGCCCACACGGGCTCCAGGGCAGCTCCTCCCTGGGGCTGGAGACCGAGGCTCAGGCTCGGGTGAGCTGCAGTGCTCAGGTGAGAGCGAGAGCCGGGAGGGGCCTTGGCTGCACAGGAGGCCTTTGGGGAAGGTGGGCGAGGGGTGAGTAGGGAGCAGCAGGCGAGCAACGAGGTGGCGGGGAGGGGAGGGGCTTGATGACCGGAGTGGGGCCGGGGTTGGGGAAGGGGTCTGGAGGGAGTCGCTGAGGGCTAAGGGAGCAGGTGTGGAGGTCTGAGGATGTGGGACAGGGACAGGTGGAGGCCGGGGGCGAGCTGGCTTCCCCGCCGTGACCTGAGTACCCCTCAGCTCACCCGCAGCCAGCCAGCCCCAGCCCTCCTGAGCCCAGGCTGCCCGAGGTCCAAGCTGAGGTGCCCTGAGCCCCGGCCCGAGAGCCTGCTACAGCGGCCAGAACAGGAAGGGGTGTGTTTCCTTTTTGTTGGTGATGCATGCAAATCAAGTGGACAAGAAAACAAAATAACAAAAAAAGGAAAAAAAAAATATAAAACCACAAAAACCAACCAACGCCAAAGGTGAGGAACCTCGCTGGATGTAGCTGAAGCAACATAGGCTTAGCCGTCACTATGGCCTCTTACCTATCATATTGACTTACTATATTCACAATGCTGCATGTCTAAACGTAATCCCGTCTCCTCTGCCTGGGAGGCCACCTTCTGCTCCCACCTCCTTTGTGAGGGGGTGGGGTGAGGGGAGCTGGCCCCTACCCTGGGCCCTCTGCTTTGAGGCCAGCTCGGAGGAGGCTGGCCACAGGGCCTCTGAGGGTCGCTGGAAGGTTGCTCACTGGTCCCTGGGCCTGAGGCTGGGCTGCCTGGTTTCGTTTTTATTTAACTTTATTTCCTGTGGTGAGTGTGTGTGTGTCGGCCTGACCCCACCCTTCAGTGTTAAGTGGGAGCCTGGGGCAGCCTCTCCTGCCTCCGGCCCCTCCCAAGACCTCCCCTCTGTCACCAGCCATCCCTCTGGACCAGAGGGCCAGGTGGGCAGCGGTCTGGGTGGCCTGGCCCAGCCCACCAGTCTATGGAGCCCCTCTCAGGCCACCAGTATTGCCCTGTCCCTTTTTAAAAACAAAATGCCCTCGTTTGTAACTCCTTAGATGCTTGAGAATAAAACCCCTCCCTTTTCTTCTGAGTCCGTGGTGTGTCCTCAGCCTGATAGGGCCTGGCAGTCACAGTGGCAAGAGGCCAGGGTGGATCAAAGCCTCTCCCTGGAGGGGGAGCTGAGGCAGGGCTGGACGCAGAGATGGGTGTTAGTAGTGACGAGCAGCCTTTCCGAGGGACGCTGTCTCCCGGCCATCTCGGGTGGAGCAGGAGAGGAGCCCTAATCCCTGTAGGCCTTGGGCTCTGGCTCTGGTGTCAGCCCCTCCGCCCTCCACCCCCCCCCCCCCGCTCCCTGCTTCCTGGAGTGGGTGACCAGCCAAGGCCAGGGCTCCCTGCCCACCTGCAAGGGTTGGGTACGGCCCACGCAGGTGTCTGCTGCTGGCCCACAGTGCTCCGACCTCGGCCAGCGCAGCATGCTGGGTGCCGTGTTCCTGCTGCTCCTGCTGCCTGGGACCTCCGCCCTGCCCGATGGGCCCCTTGGTACGTGGAGCCTGGGGGCACACGCGGCGGTCAGGCAACCCCCCCACCCCCGCGTCCTTAGCTTGACCGTTTCTTCCCTACCTGGGCTGATGGGGACAGGGTGGGGCCTCCCCGTCCTCCCACCCCCAGAGTTCCCTGCAGCTATCGTGGGACAAAGGCTGTGCAAGTGGGGCCATCTGCGTGTGCTTTTCGGACCTGGGCGTGCAGATCATGTTTGACAAGGACCCCGGCTGAGTCGACCTTGACGGCTGACCTCTTTGCAGGCCAGGGTTTGCGCATGGATGAGTGCAGGACAGAAGACCCCCGTCCTCTGCTAGTGGCTCTCCCAGTCTGGGATTGTGGCCCTGATAAACCCAAACCCTGGGGTCCGACTGCACTCCGGCTGTGCCCAGAAAAGCTTCTGGGAGTAACACGCTTCTGCCCCTCTTCCCTGAGTCCAGTGCCCACATCCCCCTTGGAAAGGAAGCCTCAGGCCCTACTGTAGTAGATCCCGAGCACAGCCTGGGCGAAGGCAGAGAGCTTTGGTTCCACCCAGCCTCCCGGCTCGACCCCTTCCTGCCCAGGATTCTCCCATCTGCTCTGCAGGTGGAGAAACAGAAGCGGGGCAGGCAGGACCTACCCCACGGGCGAAGAGCCTTGCGCCAGCCTGAGCTGCTACGCTGGCTGGGGCCGAATCCGCCTCCAGAACTACATCTCCTTTCCAAAGGCGGCGCCGGGGCGGGGAGCTTGGGCGCTTCGGGGAGCCAGTCCTCTCAGTGGTGCCCTCTACCCACCCCGCCAGCGACCCCCTTCCCCGGGGCACCTGGGCCCTGGCTTCGTAGACCCCTGTTTCGGCTGGAGCTGTCGGACGCGGAGGACGCCTTCCCGCGCCGTGGGGGGCCGCTGGAGGTGCCCGCGGACAGCCGGGTGTTCGTGCAGGTGGGGGGAACGGGGTCCCCGGGGCGGGGCGGCTGGGGACAAGGACAGGCGACGCTGACGGTGTCTCCTGCCCCCAGGTGGCCCTGGCCCGGCCCTCCCCGCGCTGGGGCCTGGCCCTGCACCGCTGCTCTGTGACACCGTCCTCGCGCCCGGCGCCCGGGCCTGCCCTGGTGCTGCTGCGCGGAGGCTGCCCCGCTGACGCCTCGGTCACCTTCCCGCCACCGCCGCCAACCCCGGACGCCGCCCGCCCCGCGCGCTTCAGCTTCCGCCTGCGCCCGGTCTTCAACGCATCGGTGCAGTTCCTGCATTGCCAGCTGAGCCGCTGCCGACGCCCACCTGGAGCCCGCCGGAGGCCCCCGCCCCTGACCCCGCCGCCGCCGTCGCGGGTGCGAGAGCGCAGAGCCCAAGATCTGCTGGGGCTGGCAGGGGAAGGGCTCCCCCCCTCCGGATGGATTTGGGGCCCGGGGCAGGTGTCCCGCAAGGCTGGGAGAAGACACAGGGTCTCAGGCTGGGCTGCTTAGGCCCCCAGGGGCCCGTGGGAGTCCTCGGGATTCCTCAGGAGCGACCCCTGGATTCCCTCATGAGCAGGGCTCTAGGACCCTCTGAGCGGGGCTCTGAGGTCAGCGCCCAGACCTGAGGTTGGGTGAAGGCAGAGGGCTGCCAAGGGCCAATCGGAGCACCTACCCTGTGAAGTCCCACATCCCAGGTGCTCCGAGTGGCTATGGACTTCTTTTCTTTTCGTACTTCTGTACTGGGGATCGATCCCAGGACCTTGCCACCTCCCCATCCCATTAACTGACTCATTGAGACAGGCTCTTGCTAACGAAGTTACCCAGGCTGGGCTCAAACTTGCGGTCCTGCCTCAGCCTCCCAAAGTGCTGCATCCGCACCCAGCCATGACCTGACATTCGAGGTCCTCTCAGGCTGGGTACCACTTCGTTACTTACGGGCTGGGTTCAAGGACTCCGAAGGAGCGGAACTTCCAGGGGTCCCTTGGCGGGCTCCCGGCTGCGGTAGAGCTGGACGTTAGGTCTCTTAGGATCCCTGGAGAGCAGACCCAGGTCGCCCGCCAGACCTTGACGTCCCGGCCGTCCCCTCCCCCAGTGTTCGCCTCCGGCCCAGGCGAGCGCGGGCAGCGGCAACGGGGAGAGCCTCTGCGCCGACAGCCCCCACCTGCACACGCTGACGCAGCCCATCGTGGTCACGGTGCCGCAGCCGCCCCCCAGTAAGCGTGCAGTTCCCTCCTGCAGGATCGCCTGGGCCAGGGCTGGGCACCTGGGTCCTGGGTCCAGACTCAGAGTCGCCCTCCCCCTGCACAGGGCCACCCAAGAGCCTCCCCGGCAAGGGATTGCGCCCCGAGCAGCCCGCGCCCGCGCCCGCTCCCGCGGCCCTGGAGCCCGCACCCGTAGTGGCGCTGGTGCTGGCGGCCTTCTTGCTGGGTGCTGCGCTGGCCACCGGGCTCGGCCTTGTGTGCGCGCACTCAGGTACCGACCTCAGCCTGCCCCGCCTGCCCCGCCTGCCCCAGCCCATTCCCGCGCCTCTAGACCTGGGGTCACCACCATCGCGGCCGATGGGACCTGCCTATCCCTAGCCCTGACTCCGCCGCACCCGCAGCAACCCGCAGGGGGCGCGCTGACCCCGGCGCAGCGCCCCATCGCAGGTGCTCTCCCTTCCAGCGCCCCCGCCCTCCAGCCGGCCGGCCAAGACCTCGTCCAGCGGCCCCCAGACTCGCAGACCCCATTGAGGAAGGTGAGCAAAGGGCGGGGAGGTCTGAGCAAGAGCTGAGGCAGGAGGTGATGATGATGACCCTTCCTGGAGTTTCACCCTCGTGCTAGGCGTGGTGCTAAATGACGTTGGACACAATCATTTAACCCTAACAACCTACAGCTAGATACTGCTATAATCCCCAGAAGAGGTAAGAAAAATAGAGGCCCTCTCTGAGACTGTCAAAGGTCCTAACAGAGACGGGCCCGTGGTGGCGCACACCTGTAATCCCAGCGCTTGGGAGGCTGAGGCAGGAGGATCGCTGCGAGTTCAAGGCTGGCCTGAGCTACATAGTGAGTTCGAGGCCAGCGTGAACTCCAAAGTGAGACCCTGTCACACACACACACACAAAAGTCATAAAACTGAGTGGGATTCGAAGTCAGGGACTAGGGTCAGCCTCAGAGGTCCTCAAACCTTGGACAGGCACTAGGAGAGAATTCGGGCTTCAGACCTATTTCCTACCCTCACCTCGGCACAGATTGACGGAAGAGGCCAACAGGCGCTGAGAGGCGCTGGGAAGGAGTCCTGCGGTGTCCCCCGCATCCCCGGCAGTGGCGATGTACACAGACAAGCCGTGGCTTCGGGACCAGGCCCACGGCCTCAGATGCCACACTATGAGACCACGAACCCTCCGTCCCTTTCCACCTTCTCATCTGGGCTCCAAATAAACCTCCGGACTGAGCCTGCTAAGTGCTGGTGGAGTCACCGGGTGCGCTCCGCACGGGTGGGGGCGCTCGGGAGACAGCCTGGGACCAGTACTGGGGGGGGGGGGGGGGGCTTGGGGGGCGGGGCCCGGGGGGGGGGGGGGGGGGTGCGGATTGGAGGGCTGGGCCCTAGGGGCGGGCTGCTAGCTCAGAGCTCCGGGGAGTTTTGTCCCAAACAGAAAGTGACGGACGCCCGACCCTGTCAGTTTAAATGTAAAATAAGCCCGTCTTCCCCGACTCGGGCACAGCCCGCCCGCCTCCTTCCGTCTTCCCCAAGCCTGGCCTTCTCTGCTGTCCGGTCCCTGCCTTCATTGGCCTCAACCTTCTACCTCTCTCCTCTGGTCTCTCCGAGATGACTGATCTGATTCTGCACTCCCTTCATCGCTTGCCTTGTCTAGAGTTCCTTAAATCCCTCCTTGGCGGGCGGGCTTGGTGGCACAGCCTGTAATCTCGTTCAGGAGGTTGAGGCAGGATAGTCACGAGTTCAAGGCCAGCCTGGGATACACATTGAGTTCAAAGCCAGCCAGAACCACATAGTGAGACCCTGTCCAAATCGCCCCTGCTGGAGCTCCTGCCTCCCCTGTGCATAGGCAGGAGACTACTACCCCATTTACAGACGAGGAACTGAGGCTTGGCATGGTTAAATTACTTGCCCAAGGTCCCCAGGGCGATCTGACCGAAGAGCCCAGGCTCTTGACCACGGCTGGACAGCAGCCTTAGAAAAGCAAACCACACAGTAGGACTTTCGTGAGGCAGCCAGGAATGTGGGGAGGGCAAGCGATCCAAGGTCGGATCCGGTTCACGAAGGAGATAGGGAGCTGAGGGTCTCGCGCGCCCCGCCTCTCCATTATTCCCAAGCAGGCGGTTCCTTTCCGCCTGCAAACGCGAAGCCGCGCCCCATCTGCTTCCGCCTTCGCGCGGTACTTGAGGCCTCGGCAGCTTCCGTAGCCCCGCCCACCAGGGACGCCTTGCCAGAGCGCCCGCGCCTCTGTAAAGCAGCATGAAGCCACCGCAGCGGCGGCGGTCGGCTCCCGCCCGCTATCTGGGCGAGGTGACCGGCCCTGTGCCCTGGAGCCTTCGCGAGAAGCGCCAACTACTGCGACTACTGCAGGCGCGGCGGGACCAGCCGGAGCCAGACGCCGCTGAGCTGGCCAGGGAGCTGTGGAGCCGGAGCGAGGCGGAGGTGAGCTTGCGGGTCCGACCTCGAAAGAGGAGGTGAAGCGAAGCAGGGGCTGTGGCTCCCCGTGGAGCGGGCGAGGCCATGTGGGCTTAGGGGTGGGACCGCGGTAGGACGCAGTGGGCGGTGGCCCTTGAACCTACGTCGGGACGTGAGCGAGGGGCGGGGTATGAGTATGCGCCTGGTGGGCTGGGGCATGCCCGGGGCGTCTGGGCGGGGACAGCAAGGATTGGGGCGGGGCGAACTGGGCGTGAGAGGCGCTGGAGGCTGCGGCTCTGGTAAGCGCAGTGGGGTCGGTGGGAGTTTGGGTGAAATGAGAGGAAATGGGCGGAGTGGAAACGAACAGGTTAGTTCTCAGCCTAGGAGTCGGCCCTGGCTGCGGGGAGGAGCCAGGACGGGCCTGGCGCTCCATCATTGGGTAACGGGTCACACCGTGGGGGCTTCCGTCCCACATCCCTGAACTCACTGATGGGCTCCCCTCTGTCCTCCCCAGATCCGCGACTTCCTCCAGCACCTCAAAGGCCGAGCGGTCCGAGAGGCCGTTCAGAGGGTGCATCCTGCTGGCCCTCTGGGTCCAAGGCGCCGACAGGCGCAGATCCTGGCCCCCATAGAGGTGAGGCGAGTGGGCAGGCTTCCCAAGGCCGGGAGGGGGACGACCCGGTCAGGGGCCCCAGAGCTCGGGGCAGCACTGCAGACCGATCCGTGGGCTGCCTGTGTCCCTCTGGCTTCACCCAGGTGTGGACGGATCTAGCTGAGAAGATAACAGGCCCGCTGGAGGACGCCCTGACGGCGGCCTTCTCCCAGGTACAGAGGTCCCCAGGCAGATCGGGGTGCCCCAGGGACAGGGTTCTAGAGTGGGACTGGGGGCAGGGTGTGCCAGTGGTACCCTTGCCTGTACCTAGTACTTGTGCCTAGTACGCACAAGGCCCTGGGTTTGGTCCCCACCACTGCAAAACCTCAAAAAACAAAGCCCGCTTGGGCCCCGGGCCCTTACCAGCTCTGTGACCCCAACCCCAACCCCAGGAGGCATTAGACCCCTCGAGTCTCAGTGTCCCCATCTGCCTTCCACAGGGTGTTGGGAGGATTTGGTGAGGGAGTGGAGATGCGGGCTCAGCCTAGGCACCGGAGGGCAGGGGAAAATGGAGGACATATCCTACCTTCCCTGAGGGCCCTCCCTGTCTGCCAGGTTTTCACCATTGCAGCCACAGAACCCCTCAGCCTCCTGCACTCCACGCCCCCGAAGCCTACGAAAGCCCGTGGAAAGCCACTGCTCCTCAGCGCCATCAGAAGGCAGGAGGATCGCAGCCCTGTGGCCTCTGGTCCTGCCCTCGAGGCCCCTGGCCCCGCCCCCGTGGCCTCTGGTCCCGCCCCTGGTGTGCCTGACCTTGTCCCTGGCCCGGAGCCTATTATTTCTGGCCCTGCCCCTGTGGCCTCTGGTTCTGCCCTTTGTCTCTCTGGCCCCGCCCCCAAGGCCTCTGGCCCCACCCCTGAGGCACCTGCTGAGTCCCTGGCGGGCCCCTCCCCTGAAGACCTCACCTTTGACTTCGAGAAGATCTACAGGTACCTGTCTTTCTCCTCCCGGAGTGGCCACGGCCCAGAGCTCTCAGCAGCGGGTGAGAGAAGTAGGGAGGGCAGAAGTGTGGGGTGAAGGGTCCCAGGTGGCTGGTGCTGTCCTCACTCACTGCTCTCCTTCCCCCCATCACCAGAGTCAGCTGTGGTCCTTGACCTGCTCCTGTCACTTCCCAAGGAGCTGCCTCACCTGCCCTGCACGGCCTTGGTGGAGCACATGACCAAAACCTATGCCCACCTGACGGCCCCAGAGCCCAGCCCCTCGGGTGGGAGCCCTGGGCCTGGAGCTGAGGATGGGAGGACTGGTTCCAGGGTGCTGGGAGAGCCTGGCTGGGTCCCGCCCAGAGTCCCTGAGCAGAATGGGGCCAGCAAACTGAGATCAGCCTGGCGAGCAGCCGGCGTCTGCCCTCTGAACCCGTTTCTGGTGCCCCTGGAGCTCCTGGGCCAGGAGGCCACCCTGGCAAGGTGAGGGCACAGCAGCCGGCAGATACAGCAGACCTCTCGGCTGGCACTGGCTTGTCAAGAAGGTCCCCGACCCAGTTCTCAGCCACAGGTGGAGAATTTGGATGCTGCATTCACGGGGGCTTAGCAAATGGAATCCCAGTGGTCCAGGGTTCCCAGGGGGCAGCCAGGCAGCCGGATTAATGGCGGACAGGGCACAGGACCGTGCATTACAAGACAGGTTGCCCCCCCCCCAGCCCAGCTGTGATTGTTCTCTGCCTTTGGGGATGGGACAGGGCGGGCCTGCCCACACCAGCACCCCTCTCACTGCCTTCCTCTGCTTAGGCTGCCCTTATTTTCCTCCTCCGCCACTTCATGTACCTGCAGGCCCAGCAGCCCCCAGCCCCCTGCAGCTGACAGCGACATCCAGCTCCTCACCCCCTGCCCAGGGTCCCTTGTCCTGGAATAAAGTTCTTGTCTACCTGCTTTCCTTCTTGCTGTGATTTAAAGATGGGGAGTAGGGGCTCCTGGAGTATCCCAGCTTGGGGTCATGGAAGCCAAAGCTGCTGCCTGCAGTGACCTCAGTTTGGCCATGAATCTCCTATTGGTGGCTGGGTAGAGGTGGCAGAGGTGGCTCTGAAAAGCCTGGATGGGAAAAGAAGAGCTGGGCCCTGGCCCTCGGGGACAGGTGTCGGAGACAGATTTTCAGAACGGGGCAATGTCACACGTACAGATAGAAGGTGGAAGCCAGCAGAGAAGGAAGGCAGCCAGATGGGAGAAGCCAGAGCCAGGCCAGGCTTGAGGGGGGGGGGGACTGGAATCCAGGCTGCAGGAGGCTAGAAAGGGAGCAGATCCCAAACCCCTAGAAGTGGTGACAACGAAGGCAGAGCTGGGGAGCAGAGGTAGGTGGAGGAAGGGCCTGAGTCCTGGTGGGTCCCCAAGATCCCACTTCCTGGTGCCAGTTCCATCTGCCCTGTGGGCATAGAGTCTGGGGGCCCAGGGTTTTCGAGGAACCCTTGTCTTCTGACGGCGTACCTTCCCCCAAGCCTAACTAGTCGCCTGAGGGTAAATTGTTTCGCAGCCAGCGCCTTCACACAGCTTTCCTTTTATAGAAGTGCTCTTTTCTCCCCACACGCTGCACACGGCTCCTCTGGGGCACATAACATCTCCCGGGCCGGCTGTGGAGCACAGCCAGCCCACACTGTGTTCGCGCTGCGCGGTGCCAGCCCCACAGGTGCCAAGGCGTGCGAGAATCGTGCAGGGGTGGCTCTTGGAGACAATCTGCATCCCAGCCACCACCACCCCCCACAACCCGCAGTACCTCCCCCGGTCAAGGGACAGGAGTGGCGGGAGGGGTCTCGGCTTGTGTGTGTCCCGTGGGGGATTGGGATGCTACACACCGGCCCCCACAGAGCTGGTCAGAAGGGTGCGCTGACTGGGCAGTGGTTAGAATCAGGCAGAAGCCAGGCCTGCATTCCATTTCCAACTAAACACTATCCACTCGGCTAAGGGCAGGTCACTGTAGCCACCTGGACCTCAGTGCCCTGGGCTGTAAAATGGGGACACTCACGGGACCTGGCTCATTTTTCCCTATCCCAAAAAGGAAACAGGCAATGAACAGGAGGTGCTAACTTAGAACATCGCGTGGCATGCAGTAAGCGCTCAATAATAGCTTTTATTATCACCACCACCACCATCATCATCGCTGAGACAGGGCGAAATGAAGAGGCAGAGGAGGGGCTCGGGGAGAGCTGGGGGAGGTGGCAGGGGCCCATGGAAGCAGAGGTGGGCACAGGGAAGGCCGCGCTGACCTGGGGGCCGATGGCGCCGCGCATCCCGGGTCTCAGCAGCCATGGCGGGTCTTCCGGCTCTGGGTCTCGGGCAGGATGTGCAGGGCATTATCAGGGATGCGGCGTCCTGCCCCGCAGGGCGCAAAGGGGGGCTCCACACTCAGTCACGGTGACACTGGGTGTGGCCAGAACATGGGGAGGAGGAAAGGGACCCGGAGGGGGGTCCCACTCCCAAAAAAGGGTGCACGACACTCATACCTGGCACAGGACAACAGCAGAGCCACTTACAAGCAGGGGAAGGTGGGAGTCAGTGCTAGGGATCCCCCTCCTGCCCGATGCAGAGTTGGGGCCCAGAGTGTGCAGAGAGGAAGGGATGGGACGGACAAAGGCACGAGGTGGGGCTCTGGCCAGGCCAGGGGGGAGATGGGTGCGGTCGAAGGGGTTGGGGTGGGCCTGCTCCTAAAGCCCAAGGCCGGGGCTGGATCTGGGCGGGGTCCTGAGCGCAGACCCCGGAGCCCCTCACACCAGCGCGTAGTCGAACTGCCCGCGCTCCAGCGCCTCCTTGTGGTCGGTCCAGGACGAGGCGGGCATGCGGCTGTAGGGGTCCAGCAGGATGCGCACGCAGCGCACCATCAGCAGCACCAGCACCACGAGCAGGCAGAGCACGAAGGCGAACACAGTGCGTTGCTCCGCGTCCAGCCCCGCGCCCACTGGGGGCCCAGTCGACGGGGGCAGCGGCTCCGGCGACAGCGTCCACGTCGCGCTCATAGCTCACATCGCCGCGCGTCCTGCAGAGGAGGAGGGGGTCCGTCGGGAGGGAGCTGAGGCGTCGCCCTCCCTCCCGCGCCCCCGCGTCGCGTCGTCCCCTCCTGTCCTCGCGACCCCTCCATAGCCTGCGCAGCTTCCGCGGGCGACGCCCATGCCCGGCCGGCGCGCTCACCGCCGCCACGCGGGGACCAACTCCTGCTGTGCTCGCGGGCGGGGGCGCTGAGCCCGCCCGGGAGCCCCGACCGCCGGGCCTGAGTCCAACAGGTGCGAGCGCGCAGCCCGGGGCCGGTGGCGCGGCCAGGTCGGTCCTCGCGGCCCCCCGCCCGCTGCCTTTGTTCCTGGCCGTCCGGGACCCCTCCCCCACCGCGCCGCGCCGCCCCCGCCCCTGCGCGCCCCTCACCCTGGCCTGCACCCGTACGCAGACGGGCCGCCCGGCGGCCGCGCTCTCTCCCAGGACCGTGGCAGCTCCGCGCTCGGCCTCTCCCTGGCGGCGGCGGCGGGGGCCGAGGCAGTGGCCCCGGCTCAGCCCACCCCACCCGCCCCTGGAAGCCGCGGAGACCGAGGCGGGTGAGCCGCAAGCCAGCCGGGCCGCCGCGGCTGTTCCCATAGCGACGGGGGCGGGTCCGCTACGGGGGCGGGGCAGCGGGGGGCGGAGGCTGTGCAGGGAGCGGCTCGCGGGTCCCAGACCCAGCTTCGGCGCGGGGACACAAGCACAGGCGCCTGCGCCCGGGGCGACACCGAGCCCCACGAGTATCCAGGACCTCACGGGGGCATAGGCAGCTGCCATTCCCTACCCCACAAGCGCCGCGTACGCCCCCGGGCTGACCTCCGTGCAGCACCCCCATTGTCAGCTCCAGACCCCTCACCCGGCCCGGAACATCTCTCAGACTGGCGTCCAAACTGCTCCATCCCTGGGGAACCCCGTTTCAACAAACACCCGAGGCAGCGCCCCTGGCCAGGGAAGACGCCCACTGCTAGGGCGGGCCCTTGGTGACCTTGGCCAACTAGCCCCTCCCACCGCCCCGTCCCCGCAGTCAGACACCACGATACACAGCCACGCTGCTCTTCTGCGCTTTGGTTTTATTATTTTCAAATTTCAGGCTTACGTACAGGAAGAGCACTGAAAATAAAAAACGACCTAAAATGGCCTGGCTGACTACCCAGCAGCTTGGCGCTCGGGCCGGGCCAGGGCCCACCCTTGCCCCTTCCCCAGGGAGTCCTGGGGCCCGGGCCTGGGGTCCCCACGGGCTTGCGGGGAGTATCTGCCTCCTGCTGCTGGGTATCCTTGGCAGCTCCTCTCCTTCCCTGTCGGGCTGGCTCGGCGGCGGCCCTGGCCCAGCTCGGGCAGGGCCATCTGGTCCCCAGAGGTCTAGAGTTGCTGCAGGTGGCATCCTGGGCATCTGCCCGCCCGTGACGGTCCAGACCCGGGGCTCCCGGTGTCGCCAGCGCCTCAGAGGATCTGCTCCGTGCTGGAGGCGGAGATGTCCAGGAGGCGCCAGGCTGCGTAGGGGTTCAGCTCTTCCTGGTCACGGCACAGCGCCCACACGTACACCATGCGCAGCACCTTGTCCTGCAGGGCGGGTGAGGAGCTGAGCTGGCTCTCCATGGGGAGGAGGAGATTTATTTAGGGTTTCTGAGTCGGGGCCAAAGTTGCCCAGGCAAGGCTCGCACGTTTAATCCTCCTGCCTCAGCCTCCTAAGTGCTGGAAATACAGGCATGCACCCAGCTGAGATGAAGGCTGTCAAGACGGATGCAGGGGTGGACACTGATGCTCTGGGAGGGACTGAGCAGCCCGGGTGCTAGGCAGAGTTCCCCCAGGGTCACTACTCAGGATGGTGGCTCTCCACCCCAAGGCCCCAGAACCATCTGGCCAGGAGCTGGCATCCATGCCTGGTGGCCCACAGGCCGTGTCCCGGCCCACTGCTCTGCTCACCGGGTCGCCCTCGACCACCTCGCCCTTGGGGTTCCGGATCACCATCACCAGCTGGGCCTGGAAGGTGATGATCAGCACTGGCCCCTGCTCCATCATCTTCCCCATGGCCAGCTGCAAGGAGAGTGGGTGGGGCTGTCACAGGGGGACCGGCCTTCCCTGTAGCCCTGGAGGTGAAAACCCCACGCTCCGGGACCCCACAGGCAGGGCAGCCAGGGCACATCTCCTGCTGGGGACGGGGACAGGGACAGGGACAGGGACAGGACCAGGCCCTTGACTGGGAGGCATGAGGCAGAGGGATGGGGCCCAGGCAGCCTAACAAAGCCAAGCCACCAAGCCGCCAAGCCTAGCTCCAGAGCCTCCTTCTGCCTCTGAGGGACCCTGGGCTCGTCTGCAAGCCCGCTCTGCTGAGGGAAGCTGCTCATCCCAGGCAAGGCCTCCCGTGCCCACTGGGGCCCACAGCCCCCACAGTGGCATCACCCCTCAGGCACTCACGTCGATGTTGTCAATGTCGAGGATGCGGGAGTGGAACTGGAGGCCCAGGGCCTTGGCCTGCTGGATCGGGTGGGCCAGCTGGCTGTAGGTCTGCAAGGGAAGGCCACGGCCGGGCTCAGCTCCTCACAGAGCTGGCATCCGCCCACCTGGAGCCTGTGTGTGGCACCAGAAGGGGCAGCAGCCAAGAGCACCTGGCCAGGCAGAGGGCAGGTGCCAACCCAGTGGCGGCCTGAGCCGCACATTAGCTTCTCGTTACGAAAGAGCAGGACGTTCTGATGCTGCAGCACTAATGCCAAGCAGCGTTAGCCAGCCAGGCAGGGCTTGGGCGACAGCAGCTCACATGCGCTCCTGTGGGACACATGGGTCTGGCTCAGCTGTGGTCCCATGTTTGCCTCCCACGGAGCCCTGGCCCGGAATCCAATGCCTTTTCTAGGATCTGTCCTGACCCAGTCTCTCAGACGGGCCCCAAGTGACATGCTCCACCACTCTGCCCTGTGCCCAGCCACAGGGCAGGTGCAGCCTGACATGTGTGGCCACGGCTGGCTTCAGTCCTGGCTTCTCGGGACTCGGCAGGCTTGGACGATGGGAGATGCTTTCCCTAGACAACTACTTTTTGTGGAAATCGCTCACCCACCAGGAATAAAACACAGAGCCAGTCCTGCTTGTTGTTTTCCTTTATGGTTCACAACACTGAGCTACCTCCCTGGCCCTTTTCAATTTTTTTTTGTTTTTAAGACAAGGTCTCAAATTTGTGATCCTCCTGCCTCAGCCTTCCAAAGTAGCTGGGATGACAGGCAGATGGCACTGTGCTCAGCTCATTTCACCCCCAGCACTTGGGTATTAAACCCAAGGTCTTCACACTGTGGTACATCCCTAGCCTTTTTAAAATTTTTACATTTTGAGACAGGGTCTTGGTAAATTGCCCAGGCTGAGCTCAAACTTGCAATTTTCCTGCCTCAGCCTCCCAGAGTGCTGGAATTACACGCACTGTTAAATTTCAAAAACACCTTGGTGAAAGCGGCTAGAACTTCAGCTGCATTTCCAGGGACACCAGCAGCTCTGTGGCAAAGATGATCAGCCATGGATCAATGGTCACACACACACACACACACACACACACACACACACACCAAAAAATGCCTGCTGGATTAGTCACCGTGCAGGGGAGCATTTAAAAAGAAAATCTGGGCCAGGGATTTAGCTCAGTGGTTCTGCCACCTGCCTCACAAGCACAAAGACCCAAGTTCGATTCCCAGTACCAAAAAAACAAAAAAACAACAAAAAAAGAAAATCTGACAGAATCTTCTCTGCTTTTTCCAAGTTGTTTGTAAGCTGCATGCACAACCGAATGAGCCAAAAAGAACTGGGATTGTTTCATACACAGCTCAGGAAAGAAAAATTAAAAAAAACCCAAAACCCTCGAAGCAGTAGCTCTGGGAGGGAGCAGGGAGCACTGAGGTGGCCAGAGTCCCCTGGGGACAGGGAGCCTGCCAGGAACAGGGCCCAGGGCAGATGCCTGCCCAGTCTCCTCACTCCCTGGCCCAGCAACCTGAGCCCCACCCGCCATCCAACTCGGGAGGCAGCCAGGGTCCCATCAGGACATCAGGACCGTCCCGACCTGCGCTCAGGATCTGGGGAGAACAGGTCCGGGGTCAGAGCGCCATGTGCTTGTTTGCAGCTCACGCTGGTTCAGGACACAGGGTGACTGCCCTTAGTCCCCCAGGACTAAGGGCACCCCGTCTGCTCTCCACGGTTACACGCCAACCCCTTCTCCCCTCTCCCTGGCCCCAGGCTGTCTGGGCCAGGACATCTGTATGCCCTGTGCCACCACACCCGAGTGGAGGGGTGGCCTGGAAACCACCTCTTCCTCGGCAGGCACTTGAATCCTCTCCTTACGAGGCTCCTTAACCAAAGTTATTTTTAAGATGAGGGCTGGGGGAGGAAGCCCTAGAAAACCAGCAGCTCTGTGATACTGGGCTGTCCCCTGGGCACAATGCAGGGGAGGATCTTTTTATTTTCTTGCAGTACTGGGGATGCAACCCCAGGCCTCATGCATGCCAGGGACGTGCTCTACCGAGCTGCACCCCTCAGCTCCCTATTTATTCTTGGAACCAGGGATTGAACTCGGGACCTTGCGCTTGTCAGGTGGGCGGTGGCACCACTGAGCTACATCCCTGGGCCCCCCCTTTTTATTTTATTTTTTGGTACCGGGGATCGAACTTGGGTCCTTCCGCTTGCAAGTCAGGCAGTGGAACCACTGAGCTACATCCTCAGCCCTGCCCCTTCTTATTTTTAAGACAAGGCCTCGCTAAGCTGCCCAGGCTGGCCTGGAACTTGCGATCCTCCCTCCTCCCTCCTCCCTCAGCCTCTGGAGGAGCTGGGATCACAGGTGTGGTGGGATTTCCTGTGGCCCGCAATGCGGCCCTTGGGTGCAGATGTGCCCCCAACTGGGACAGGGACATGGGGCTGCCCGGCTCTGCGGCAGGGGGTCGGGGCAGACACCAGGATGCCGCCCGCCCCGCCGAGCTGCACCCCTCACACCCAGGATTTGTTCCGGTCGGGGTGCGCTGTGCATGCCAGGCACCACCGTGCCAGTGCGATCCACCCCCAGCCCTTCTGGGATTCTTTTCCTTTTCTTTTTTTTTTTTGGCGGAAAAAGAGACAAAAACAGTACTCACAGCTTCATAGCACCAGTCTTTGAGAATGTCGAGCTCTCCAGAAATCATGGCCTAAAAAGGGAAAGGAGAAAAATAAGTGTGAGAAGGTGAGTGGGCTTCTGGGCAGGAGCAGCAGGAGAAGGCAGACGCTCCACTCCCGAGGCCCGTGTGTGGGGCTGCGGCCTTCCAGGTGCTGGCACAGGGATGAGGGGGACTGCAGGTCCCCGTGGGGGTCAGGGGCCCGGAGAAGTGGGGAGCATGGCTGTGTGCCTGGCACTGAGAGCCACGGAGCCCTGCTCTGACACTTGGGGACCCCCACACTCTGCCTTGCTGGGGTCGAGGCCCTGGGCCACTGGGATAGACGCCGGCCCTGAGCATGGGCAGCTCCCGGGGTGTGCAAGGGCCTGGAGAAGGCAGAGGGCAGAAGGAGCCAGGCTCGCAGGGAGAAGTGTGGCCAAGCTCTGCAGCCACGTGCCCGGCCCGGGTGGTGAGCAAGACACCCCC